TTTTATATCACTGAACATCAACCATCAATTTTCATGCAGTAGGTTAACGAATTCAGGAAAAAACATAATTCCACAAATTCCGCAACTCTTGTACTCCTTTTTTTAATCAGATCGCTATGTTGATATCAGGCCGCGGGCGGTTACAGCCAGGATCAACCGTGCGTTGCGCAGATTTCAAATTTTTTACGACTCCCACCCCCCCCCCTCTTTCGGTGAGTATCAACATGACCCTCTTTTATCAGTTATTTATATCTATTCTCATAATTTTGGGCCCACTATTGATCTATGGGTCGTCATTCACCTGAAAAAAGGTGGGGAGGGGGAACTACGTCTTTGCCTCGCTCAGAAGGACGGGAATCGAGGCGACATGAAATTTTACTCATTAAATAGAGGGACGGTATTTCTAAACATTTCGTATGGACAAAGGTACATTTGTGATTGTAAAAAATTCGTGTCAAAAAACCACCAAGTTTTCTTCAAACCTTCAAATCTCCTTTTTTATGAAGTGAAAACTGAACCACTGCGGTACATCAATTTAATGTAATCATGAACCCTTCATTCAAAAGATTATATTGTATCTTTCTCAAATTGCGTAGCTACGAAATGGGTGTGGAAAATTTTGATACTCCAAATTGTTTTCTTTCTAAAAAGTATTTGAAATGTTGCGAATGTTCAATTTTCAAAAAATCGTCCCGTTGTTCCGTTTTTTGTGCACACGCGAGTTTTCGACATTCAAACATTCATAACTTTCTTCATAATCAACTTTTTGCAGATGTTAAAGCTAATTAGAAACTAGAAGATTAGCGCTTTCAAATAAGTAAAACTTTTTCCAAAATCACTCGCTCAAAAAATAGTCCCGTTGTTCCGTTTTTTCCCTCTTGATTTTTTCAAGCCATTCTCCTGAAACGCGAGATTTCAACCTTCAAAGGCCCATAACTTTCTTCAAATTGATGTGATGAGAAGCGGTAAAAGATGAAATTTACAAGATCTTGACTTTGTGTACCAGAGGTAGCCGGGTCTGTTCGCCTGCACTCTGGCTATCCTGTACCCTCAAAAGGTTTCTGCGAGTTGATACTTGATCTTATGATCCCCCTCCTGCGCTTATTGGCCAAATGTGCACTTGTTGAATTCTTTGCGGAAACGGACGTTGACCCTGGTTACAGCGCTGGGCAGTTCGAAAAACAATAACCGGCCTTCTCATTTGACATATTTATGCATGGGTTGTAAAATATCGGTATCAGGGTAAGGGGACTGAAGTAACATCGTTGACAGCCCTACGTCGAATGCACCCAGAAGCAAGAGGTAATTTTCCAGACAAATAGGACAAAAGATAAAAGTGAGTGCGACGCGAATGATAACAACTGGCTTACGCCTTGACATTGCGCGTGCGGACGCACGATTGCTATTGACCCTTACTCACATCTTAAGTTATTAAACTCAATAAGTAAACAATAACTCACGGTATTAATTTGTCCAGATGTTGCTGAACCACTGCAAATATTTCGTCGATGGTGCCTTGAGCATCGATCTGAAAATGGACAACTGAAACAGAATACTTGATTGAGAAGACTATGGCGCTGGTGCACTTTGGAAGGGGGACCACAGTACGTGAGAGCCGCAAGACCCCAGCGTCTGGGGGTGGGAGGGGGCTAGAGGAGAGAACGGTCTTCATTTTTCTCAGAGTTCATCCTCTCCTCTGCCCCTTAGTACACTATCCAGCCAAGACTAATTTATGAGATACGACTCACCCTTAATGAGCTTCTTCTTCTTTTCGTAGTAATCGACCACTGGAGCCGTGGCAGTTGTGAAGGTCTTCAGACGCTTCTTGATCGTATCCATGTTGTCGTCAGCACGTCCACTACAACTTATAACATTGTAATACTGACAACTAAAATAAAGGACTGGTCACAGCTGGCTTTTTCGTCCGCTGGTTGTAATTATTGGTTTAAAACTTTTAATGTAATCTACAACACTATTCACTTTCCTGTAACAAGAACTCTTCTTTTTACCCATCATCCCTTTGTACATTCCACATGTATCCAGCAATGATCTAGTATGATTCGTATTCCCATCTATCGAGTACGTCGGCTTCCAGAAGTCTATTAGTCCTCTCATATTCGGCATGATCTCTACGCACTCGCGTAATTTAACTCCGCACTGCTTTCCTCCGCACAGCCCAGCTGCTTGCTGTTGACTCCGATTCATTAGATTCAACGAATAGGGAAATTCAAATGGTGGACCTGTAACGTTTGTCCAGCTAGCGGGGCACTTGACCGCTCGCGATATGAAACCACAAAAATTGAGTAGTTTTCGGTATTCTATTCCTTTGATATGCTTTAATACTGCTTGCCTATCTTTATTACATAAAGTAATACCTCATACTAATTTTTTTCAAGTGCGCCCAGGGTTAAGTTGCGGTATAGAACTGCAGCCTTGTTTTGACTTCATCGGCCTGCTCAGTGGGAGTGGCTTTCCCTCACTCGAACTGGAAGTTGGAGTCGACCGACAGGCTGGAGCGCCTTCACGAGGAACCGTTCCTGCTGACACGAGCGAGAACGTTGATCGTTTCCTACTTTACTCCTTCAATTCCTTTGTAACTCGCTTAGAAACAAATATAATACTGCATAAAGTTTGTAGAAAGGAAACTGGAAGGGCTGTGACATGTACTGACAGTTTACCTCGTCTTGGCCCGATGTAGAAGTCGTTTAACCAGAATATCTTCTGGAACATTCGAAATAGATAACAGATTTCGCTTCTTGGATCTAAAATGTAATAGGAATTGAAAACGACGAGATAGCCGCAATTTCTTCAAGGTACCGACCTCGTTCTCAAACTGCTCTCCTTGCTTCACCTCTCGAGGATAGCCATCTATGAGGAACCCTTTGGAACCCTTGGCAACTTCTTTTAGCATTGCCTCTTTGATCAGATCCAAGACAATTTCCTGAAGGCAATAGTACAGTCACATAGGAGTTGTTGAGAAAAGAGAAAAAGCAGACCCTCACTCACAAGAGGCACCAACTCCCCCGCTTCCATTATTTTAGTGAGCTGAGCTCCTCTTGGCGAGCCTGATTTGACCTGAAATTTCAACAGATTGAAAAAGGGTTCAATACCATCCAGTTTCACTATTCACTTTCGAGTTTCACTATTCACTTTTCGTGCATTATGGGATTCATCGAAGCAGGAAGTAAAACGCTGTTCCGTTTTCTGGATTCAGAAACCCAAAAAAGGAATAGCGTTTTGCTTCCTGCTCCAGAAAACAATTAACAGAACAAGCTGAGATCACCTCATCCCTTAGAAGATCTCCCGACGATAGATGAGATAATTTGTACTTGGCCACGATCTTTTCACACTGTGTTCCTTTCCCAAACAGGACCACCTAAAGGAATTGAGTGGAAGCCCATACGTGATACAATTTACTTTAATTGAAAATTTATGCTTACCGACGATGAAGAAAATGGGGACCTTGGCCTTCTTCAGTGGAGTCAAGTCGATGTGCTTCCTTTCCACGGTTACTTTTTCCGAACTACAACAGTTTTATATCACTGGAGATCAATCAATGTTTCAATGAAATACAATAGCTTAACGATTTCCTATATGAAATACGATAGTTAACGATTTCTATAAAACAACATAACTGCACTAATTCCGCAACTCTTGTACTACTTTTATTACCAGACCACTATGTTGATATCAGCCGCGAGCGATCACAGCGCGGCACGGTTCAAAAATTAATACCGGCCTTTTCATTCAACGTAGTTATGAATGAAACGTAAACTATCGTTATCATGATACAAGACGGAACAGGGACCATACAGGTCCGTGTTGCGCGCAGCCCCAAATCAAGAGCGTAATTTTCTAGACAAGAGAATAAGAGGATAAAAGTAAGCGCTATCAATGGCTCACCTGAAAGCCAAGAAATTTGCCGCATCTGCGGCGTGTACCTCTTAACCCATACGTTATTATGGTTAACTCAGTAATCAAATAATAACTCACGGTATTAATTTGTCCAGATGTTGCTGAACCACTGCAAATATTTCGTCGATGGTGCCTTGAGCATCGATCTGAAAATGGACAACTGAAACAGAATACTTGAAAGAAGACTATGGCGCTATTGTACTTGGCAGGATCACAACACGGAGAGCCCAACATACCCAGCAAGCATTGCGGGGGTGGGTAAGAGGACGGTTGCGTCGCGTACTGCGAATCGAGCCATTCGCTTTACGTGACGCGACCGCGCACGCAAGCAAACCGCTCGATTCGCAAAGTCTGACATCGGCCTGAGCAATTTCCATTTTCCTAAAGTTCATCCCCTCCTCGTAGGCTCTGCCCCCTAGTACACTAGCGCCAAGACTACTTCGAGATGCGACTCACCCTGATGAGCTTCTTCTTCTTTTCGTAGTAATCGACCACTGGAGCAGTTGCAGTCGTAAAGGTCTTCAAGCGCTTTTTGATCGTATCCATGTTGTCATCAGCACGTCCACTACAACTTATGTAATGATCTGTCAATAAAGACAATTAGACTGGCAGTTTACCTTGTCTTGGCTCGATGTAGAAGGCGTTTAACCAGAATATCCTCTGGAACATCGAAATAGATAACAGATTTTGCCTCTTGGATCTAAAAAGTAATACGACTGGGAAATGAATGATAAGCCACAATTTCTTCAAGGATACCGACCTCGTTCTCAAACTGCTCTCCTTGCTTCACCTCTCGAGGATAGCCATCTATAAGGAACCCTTTGGAGCCCTTGGCAACTTCTTTTACATTGCCTCTTTGATCAGATCCAAGACAATTTCCTGAAGGGAATAGTACAGTCACATAGGAGTTGTTTCAAAAGAAAGAAAAAGCAAGACCCTTACTCACAAGAGGTACCAACTCGCCCGCTTCCATTATTTTATTGAGCTGAGCTCCTCTTGGAGAGCCCGATTTGACCTGAAATTTCAACAGATTGAAAAATGGTTTCGATACCACCAATTTCATTATTCACTACTCATGCATAGCCAGGTGGAACTATGACAGCAGAAAGTTATTTAATTGTTGGGAGCACCCTTTTATTAGTAGCCATTCCCATCTGTATGTTATAAAACCTTCAGGGATAATTGCCGTGGTATTTCGCAGCGATAATGGCTGAGAAAATCATGTTTGCAGCTCCTGATTCTACAACATCTGAAAAAGCGCCAATTGAAGCGACAAGAAGCCTATGACTTGCAACAAAGCTCCTGAGTGTATTGTACAACACGGTGAAAATTTGGTGGCCGATGACCAGAAACTCGAAAAAA